GGCAATAAGAATGTAGACCGGCAGACCTCTAGCTAGCACCAACACCATGCGCCTTAGTGCCGTGGGGATGACAATGCGTACTCCTCTTAGGATGATGGTTCCAATGGTACAGTTGATGTGAGGTTGCAGGCTCAGGGTTCATCTGTTGAAGGCACATCATTGCGTCGACGACTTCTTCATCCTTAGCGCTGTTTTCGGCGATTTCGGACATAGCTATTGGTATGGGTGCGGCGTTCTCAAAAACTCGCAGTATGTTGTTCGCTTTTAATGTCATAAAAAGTAGATAGTCCTCCTTCACAGAAACGGGATAAACAATCAGCTATAATCGCTTTGCCCGTTTTATACAATTTTTCAATTAAAGCAGTACTGCTCCCAAAGCAACAGGGCTCGCATCAGCTATCAGTCGAGTTTTATTTTTAGGGTCAAAGTATGAGCGACTTGGAATCTTAGCTAACGCTAACTTTAACATTAGGTCCCCAAAGAAACTTTTGATCCACCTTTAACAACACCCGTAACGGTTCAGTTAGATCCTCCAGGTCTAGAATAAACTTCCCCACGTACGTGACAAAATCCAGGAAACTACGCGTTTTTTCTTTGTCTTTGGGAGCGCGAAATGAACCAATCGCCAAAATTTTCTCCGGATCTATTTCAATCACTTTGTTTGTCAAAATATGATCCAGGAATTTTATTCGTTTTGTCTTTTAAATACACTTTTTTTTGTTTAAAAGTACATTGTACTTTTAAAAAATATCGGAAAGATCTCCTCGAACCGTCTTTAAAAAATTTCTGTAGCTGTGTTTATGCCAAACATGAATCTTTTGCATCTGAATAATCCTCGATGTGTTATAAAGGTTGTTATTTGTGTACTTGATTCCTCTAATTCTAATTGATGGTACGCGTCTTTCAGATGCAACCGTGAAAACAGTTTTGCATCCTTCACCCTGGTCATGAAAGCTTCGAAAGCACGTAACGGGTAATTTTCCCTGCGGATTGCGCGATTGGCCTGTCTCATATCCAAACATAGTCGGACTTCGACGTTTTCTATTAATGCCATGGGTGAGATCTAAGGACTGGGGCCACTAAACGGTTCGATTATATCCAGCTTGCGTACTTTCTCCAGGTTGGCTTTGACTTTTTCTTTCAACGCAACAGGAGTGCGTCTCGAAGGTTGTTTCACCGGATCTATTCTCAAACATGTAGAATCTACATTGTAGATCTATTGACAGTTTTACGCTAATACCCACTAGTCTAATCTCACTTAAGAAACGACGTGACTGCTTCAATGTGATTTACCGGTAACCCTACTCGCAAAATATTTAATTTAGTTGCAGTTTTCCGTCCAAGTAGTGATTGTCATTTAAATTGTTTTTGAGTCTCATACGAATATTGAAAACCGTTGCTTTTCTTGACTGTAGATCCATCCAATCGTCCTGCGAGATAACATAAAATTGACATAAAATTGTTTTTTTGTTTGGTTTGAGACTCTGCCTCTTACCACTGTCAGATAATTCATTATTCGTTTATTCAACCTTTGTTAAATATACTGTTCGCTTTTTTTTTTATACCCCTGTAGAGGGAATTATAATTTTGGTCAAAAGTTTGCAACGCAGTGATGGAAGGAGATAGAAGTTTGGGACTTTTTTTTTTTTTTAGATTTTTTATTGTAATAAATTGGTTATATTATGATATTATTATAAGGATCGACCAACTTTATGTTTCCGGTTTTATCTGTAAGGGTATATCAACTTTGGCTCCGCCCGAAGTTACCTTTATTTATTTTTTTTTTATACCCTTGCAGAGGATATTATAATTTTGTCCAAAAGTGGGCAACTCAGTGAAGGAGTCATCTCAGACCCTATAGAGTATATATATTCTTTATCAAGATCACCTCCTGAGTTGATATGAGCATGTCTGTCTGTCCGTCCGTCCGTCAGTCCGTCTGTCTTTTTCTACGCAAACTAGTCTCTCAGTTTTAAAGCTATCGACTTGAAACTTTGCACACACCCTTCTTTCTTTTGCACGCAGTATATAAGTCGGAACGACCAGGATCGGACGACTATATCCTATAGCTGCCATATAACTGATTGATCGGAAATGGTATAACTTTGGTGTTTTTAGAGTTAGAGTTCAAATTTTACATGAAGAGTTTTTTTGGCAAAATAATACGACATGCCTAACTTCATAAAGATCGGCCGACTATATCCTATAGCTGCCATATAACTGAATGAACGGAAATGACCTAACTTTTGTGTTTTTGAAGATAGAAATCTGGAACTTAGTAGATTATATTTTTGGTCAGTTGATCCAACCTACCAAATTTTATAAGGATCGGCCGACTATATCATATAGCTGCCATATAACTGAACGATCGGAAAAGGTTTTTGGTAGAAATACCAACTTTCGTATTTTTAAAGATAAATGATGTGACAATATTCTCATAGGGATCGGCCAACAATATCCGGTGTTTGCGATATATATCCGGTTTTAACTGCAAGGGTATATCAACGTCGGCTGAGCCCGAAGTTAGCTTTCCTTTCTTGTTTTTTTTTTGTTTATATTTATCTTTCTTTTTCTTAAAATCGTCATTAGCTTCGTTTATCACTCCCTCGCCTTCCCCTTATCCGTGTTCTCATTCTCTTAACCCAACTGAAACACCAAAACCAAGCGAAAGAGGCGATGCAAAAAAAAAAAAAAACGGGTTCGATTGAATAAATTTTAAAAAAATTAAATTTTTTCTTTCATGTACGTGACCTATTTTTATTCATCGATTTTGTTCAAATTTATAGTGGTTATGATTACCTATAGCAATTTTAATTTAACTTCCATTTAGTTTACCTCGTCGCCAATGTAACACTGCACCACTTCCATAAATTTACACGCGGAATTATACTTTTAACAATGTTCTTAGTTTCCACTCTCCAATCGCTTCGAGTGCCGAAATCAAAACTAAACCTAGTTACATATAAGAATATAGGGAGAGAGAAATACGCTGAAAAGCGTAAATGCTGGCTTCGCATCTCGCGGCCGGTTCCCACACTACTTTGGCGGTTACTTTTGCGCTTGGGAAAAAAACAACCGAAGCCCCCTACTACCCCCTAAGAAAGCAGAATAAAAAAAACTGTGTGTGTCAGACTCACGCACGGCAGAAGTGAAACTTCTAAGTTGGTTTTTCCATGCATGCGAGCCCCAGTTTAGATCTCTCCCCCCTCTCTCGTGTTGAATTCAGGTTTCCATATTTGTTTTTTTCAATCTATTTTATATTCCGATTAAAAAGCGTATTGATGACAGAAAGTACGCGATAAACCAATTTACCGGAGCTGTGTAATAATTACGAGTTTAGGAAATTTTCTATTCGAACCCACACGCTAACAAGGTTAGGTATTCAAAATCCCCCACTCGTGAGGTATTTCATCGTACATTTATGTGATATATTTATACTCTTGAAGAGGGTATTATAATTTCCAAAAGTGTGCAACGCAGTGAAGGAGACATCTCCGACCCTATAAAGTATATATATTCTTGATCAGGATTACCTACTGAGTTGATATGAGCATGTCCGTCTGTCCATCTGTCTGTCTGTCTTTTTCTACGCGAACTAGTCTCTCAGTTTTAAAGCTGTCGTCTTGAAACTTTGCATACACCCTTCTTTCCTTTGCTCGCAGTATATAAGTCGGAACGACCGGGATCGGCCGACTGTATCCACCCTGCCATATAACTGAACGATCGGAAATGGTATAACTTTTGTGTTTACAGAGTTAGAGAGTTCAAATTTGACACGAGAGCTATTTTTGGAAAAATAATACGTCTTGCGTCTATGGTTTTGGTAGAAATACCAACTTTGGTATTTTTGAAGATAGAAGTTTGGGATTTTTTTAGATTTTGATTTTATAATAAATTGGATTATATTATCATATTCTCATCTGGATTGGCCAAAAATATCCGATGTTTGCGATATATATCCGGTTTTAACTGCAAGGGTATATCAACTTCGGCTCCGCCCGAAGTTAGCTTTCCTTTCTTGTTTGTTAAGTTTTCTTAAGTTTTTCCAAATTAAATTATTTTACAAAATTTCTTATAGCGGCAAAATTGTGCTGGAAAAATATTTATTAATAAATATTGAATAAATTTTTATATTTTTATAAGTATAATATGTAAAATAAAATATACAACATAACAATGAATATTTCTGAAAAAAAATAATGACTTACTTCCACTTTTGAATTATTTTATTAACAGCGTCTAAAAATACAGGAAAATATGCATGGTTCTATCGTACATTCTAGAATGCATTCGAAACAATTCGAATGCGAACTGTAACTCTACCTCATTCAATTCGGGTTTCATCCCCCCAATGTTGTGCGAGTGAGACCTACACAGTCGCACTCACTCATTCATTAATTTTCGCCTCAGCATTCTATCTCAATTCATTTTTAAGGTTGTGCATTTGAATGTCGTTTTTTAGCTATTAATGTAGAACTCTAATATGTATATATATATATATTAACTATGCAATACCCGAGGCACCAACATATTTTGTAAATAACGGTACTACAAAAGAGATTATAATGCAGCAATTTTTATCACATAGCAAAAGAAAACATTATACATTTATGACGACAAACATTATACACTCAATACATAAAAAATTAACTGTGAATATGAAAAATAAGCAAAAATGCACATATAATTATTTGTGTGAGGTATGTTTAAATGATATTTTGCCCCTCACTCATAAAAATTTTAAATTATGTGTTAATAAGAACTTATGGAAGACCGGTATAAATTGTAAATAATATGTTTTAAAGAACTTATGGAAGACTAAATCAATTCCTACTAGGGGATCGATCGGTAAACATGTAAATGTATCATGTGAATGGATTTATATGGGTACCACTGATCTAAAGTAATACAAAACATAAAGGTTCGGATCCGCCCGGATGTAAAATAAATTTTTTTTGTTCATAATAAAAATCTATTTCAAATCTATTTTATACCCATAGGAAAAATTGGACCACGGACTCCAACGCCCTTTAAAAATGCACTCGCAGCCCTACGCAAAAAAAGGCACGGTCGACGATATGAACCGTCTAGTCCGTCAAGTCTAGTGGAAGATCTTGCTGAAATTATCAATGAGGAACAACTGAACGATTCACAAACTTCTCAAAATAACAACAACGTTAAACAAAACATAACTCAAAATATTTTGTTTAATGCAGAAAAAAACTTAAGTGTACGGTCTCCACATCTGACGCGTGCGAGGAAATCTTTACTTTCAGCTTGGACTACAAATCAACTTTCCAATGTGGTATATAGCAAAAAAACACAACCCTTTGAAACAGAAACTCCTAGTAAAATTCTTACATCGCCTAGCAACTTTATGAAAGATCCTCTATGTAGCGAACAGGACTTACCGTTCGATGAAGGCAGAAAAGAAAACAGACCATACCATAAGCCTCGTGACTTCTCAAGTGAAAACATCATTGATCCGAAATGGGCACAAGTAGCTTGTGGAAAAACCAAAGATCAGCTGTTTATGGAAGAGCAAGCATATGCGTGTCTTAAAAATTTTTCTTGTTTGCCACGTTCTCTGAAATTTGAAAAGCACAAGTGTAACTATATTTTAAATGAACAGTTTTTATAAATGTAAAATATTTGTAACTTTTATTTGCATATAATTTGTATATAATGAAAAATTCACTATGCAGATATAATATTTACGAAATTTCCAATAAAAAATGTAAACCCAATTATATTTTTCGTTTTTGCCGATTTATATCCTTTTTTGTCAAAAGTATCGCAGTGAAAAACACTTCTCTATAAAGCACTGATCGGCACACAATACATTGATATGATTGTGATGTATTAGTGAAAAGATTTATGAAAATGTTTATGTGTTTTTGTGCTCGCTTAAGCGGGTCAGCGGGAGCTCGAGAATTCGAGTATATATGCACGGGCGTAAAATTGTGTTTTGCCTCTAGATTTGTGCATATATAAATTTATACAAAAATACACTTTATGTATTTACACTGCTGGTCTTGGGTTAGACGCACTCAGTTTTCCAAACAAATTTGTTATATATTTTTTTTTTAATGATTATTGAAAAAAAGTTAATATGCAAAAACTTTGGTTATTTAATAATAATTCAATTATAATATTCAAAATTTACACTCGCAAGGACTATCTAATCGAAACATTGCCAAAAAGATAAATGGCAGCTCCAGGATTGTTGATAGATATTTAAAAGATCCAGAGGAATATGGAAAAAACTTCATATGGAAAAACATCAAATTCGACTAAGTCCGCAGCTAAGATTTAGGAATTAGCCGGAGTAAAAGCAAGCCCTTATACTGTTTAGCGTATAATCAGAAATGCAGAATACCTAAAGCGATTAAAAATCAAGAAAAAACCTTCTCTGAATGCAACACGCAAAGAAAAACGGCTTCAATTCGCGAAACAATACATGACGTGGAATGTTCAAACGGACACTCGGCGTAATGATTGGCGTTCTGTTGTTTTTACTGATGAAAAAAGTTTAAATTTAGATGTCCCCGATGGCGTTCAACATTATTATCACGATTGGCGAAAAGATGAGATATATATTTAAGTCGCCACCACAGCCGAGAAGGTGAACTAATGGTGTGGGGTGCCATCACGTTTTATGAAACAATTGACTTGATTTGTATCGATCAAAAGATGAACGGCGATCGCTTCAAAACATTGTTGGAGTCCGTATTCCAAAATTAAATGATCTCTTTGGACCAATTCCTTGGATTATTCAAGAAGACAATGCTCCTATTCATAACGCTCGAGTAGTAAAGTCGTTTATTTCGAGTCAAAACGTTAATATCATGGCCACCATACTCTCCAGGTCTTAACGTAATTGAAAATGTTTGGGGCTGGCTAACGCGGAAGGTATACGAAGGAGGAAAGCAATACGAAGATAAGGAAACATTAACTGCAGCTTTTAAACGAGCTTGGAGCGAGATTTCGTTGAAATACATAGATTCCCTGTATTATTCTTTGAAGGACCGGATATATAAAGTTATTACTAACAAAGGAATAAGCACTCATTACTGAAATTTTTTTTTATTTTCTAATAAATCAAATATAAACACCAACTACAAATTTAAGATTAAAATAAGTTACTTTAAAAAAAAAAATATGTCTATGTGCGTCTATTCTATTGACCAAGAAAAATGTGCCTTCATTTAAGTTGCATGAAGAAAAAGTTTAAAAACACAACTTATGTTATATTTTTATAATATTTTGAATATTGTAATTGAAGTATTATTAAATAACCAATTTTATGCATATTATCTTTTTATACCCTTGCAGAGGGTATTATAATTTTGTCCAAAAGTGTGCAACGCAGTGAAGGAGACATCTCCGACCCTATAAAGTATATATATTCTTGATCAGGATCACCTCCTGAGTTGATATGAGCATTTCCGTCTGTCTCTACGCGAACTAGTCTCTCAGTTTTAAAGCTATCGCCTTGAAACTTTGCACACACTCTTCTCTCCTTTGCACGAAGTATATAAGTCGGAACGCCTGGGATCGGACGACTATATCCTATAGCTGCCATATAACTGAACGATCGGAAATGATTCAACTTTCGTGTTTTTGAAGATAGAAATCCTAACTTAGGTTAGGTTAGGTTGAGGCGCCGATGCGTGGCCAGTGACTGACCCCCCATCCACTTGAGCCGCTTGGGCTCCTTGTGATACCGCACATGTACTGATGTGCCCAAGAGTGTTCTATCCTTCCTGCGGCGGCTCGCGGTCCTATCCAGATTCACGGATGAAAGCTACGAGTCTGCGTGAAGCGATCTCCGCGAGGTCTGTTAGGTCCGAGAGTATTGCTGCACCCAAGAATTTGAGTCGGCTGCGCCCCAGCGCAGGGCATTGACACAGGAGGTGTCTGCCTCTTCCTCTTCTACATCCCCACAGCTTTTGCAGTAGTCATAATGTGGCACCGCTAGTCTAGCCGCGTGTGCTCCTATTAACCAGTGTCCCGTAATGGCCTTGATCGCCCGACTATAGTCCTGCCTATTTAGGGCGGTAAGCATCATTGACCTCTTCCTAGATCGGATGGGCCATATCATGCGGGAGTTCCTGCAGGTTTGGAGATTTCTCCATTTCCTCAGTGATGCGCGGTCAAAGTGATCCCTGCATTTTAGAATACACGTAGCTAAGGGGAAACCTACTGGTTCCTTCTCCGGTAGGAGAGGATTGGTAATACCTGCTCTTGCCAGTTCGTCAGCGGCGCAATTACCCTCGTGGTCCCTATGCCCGGGTACCCATATGAGGTGGATGTCATGCTGCTCTGCCATCTCGTTAAGAGATCTGCGACAGTCATTTACTGTGCTGGAGTTGGATGAGAATCCGTCAAGGGCTTTGAGTGCCGCTTTACTGTCTGAGAAGATACAGATTGTTTCTTGATTGCCAGTAAGTGCTGGGGATCTAAGTGCTTCCCCGATAGCTATTACTTCTGCTTGGTACACACTACAGTGCTCGGAGAGTCTGAAGGACTCATTTAGACACAGCCGTTCGCAATGGAAACCGCCCACCTGGCCATTCAATTTTGAACCGTCGGTGTAGATATGAAGGGAACCGGCTGGTCCCGGGATTTGTGTGACCCATTCCTCCTTTGTTGGAATGGAAACCTAGTATTTTAAGGTGGGATGATCAACAGGTACGCAGTAGTCTGTAGCCCCCGTTGGCGTGAAGTCGTGTAGATCTAACTTGGTATGTCCATAGTCAGACCATTTCCATGTGCCCGTCTCGCGTAGCCTGATTGCCGATAGCATGGCTATCCTGACCCCCATTATCTCTACCGGTAATAGGTCGAGTATGAAGTCTTGGGCATCCGTCGGTGTGGTACGTAGGGTGCCTGTGATACAGACCGCCGCCATCCTTTGCGTTTTCCTAAGTTTCTCTCTAATTGTGGAGTTAGTGAGAGCAGGCCACCAGATCACCACCCCGTAGAAAAGGATGGGTCTTATGACCGCTGTGTAAAGCCATCTTACTATTTTTGGGGACATTCCCCAATGCCAATGGCTTAAGGCCAATGGCTTTTCGGCATGTATAGAGCGCGATTGTTGCCTTGTTAGCTTTATCCATAGTGTTTGACTTCCAGCCCAGTTTCCTATCTAGCGTAATCCCTAGATTAGGATTACTGATAGTTTTGGAAGCCTTAAGTGTGGTATTTTGTGACTCCTCAACAGTCCTGTTTACCAGGATCTGCTTTATAAGGCGTATGGATTGATTGTCCCGTCAGCGCATTGATTATCGAGCTTGGTAGGATGTTGTTGAACGCACCTTCTATGTCTAGAAAAGCAATGAGTGCGTATTCCTTGTCACTAAGTGCCTTTTCGACAGTAGTAGTGATTTCGTGGAGTGCCGTTTCCGTGGGTCGGCCCTTCTTATACGCATGCTGTGATCCCAGATATCATCTGGGTTGATAGTAAGATTAATATTAAGGCTGATTAATCTCTCCATTGTCTTGAGAAGAAAGGACAACAGGCTTATTGGTCTGAAGGCTATTTATCGCCCAGCTGAGATACCTGTCACTCAATAGGTATTCAAGTTGGTTAGGGAGGGAGGGGCTATCCTCCTGTCTCTGCATTTCCAGGGTTGTTTCTTCTAGAGAGCATCCCGGGAAATGTGCCTCTGTGAGAGCCTCTAGGGTTTCTTTGCTGGACGATGTCCAGTTACCTTCTGAGGTTTTAATGTATCCTACATTTGGTGCAGTAGTTGCGAGGACCTTCCTGAGTCGGGAGGCCTCTGATGTTTGCTGAATGTTCGTGGAGAACTTGGTCTAGGCATTCCTTTTTGCCTTGCGAAGTTCTTTGTTATATCGCTTTATACGTCTCCCAGGCTGTCTCCGAGTTTGTCTTGCTGGCAAAATTAAAGGCCTTGCGGGCCTTGGTTTTAAAGGGCGCAAGTGTTTGCGACCACCATGGTGGTTTCTTTGACATGTTATTGTCTGATCTGCTTTTGGGACAAGCTTTATTGAATGCCCTGGCACACGCTGCCGTAAGCGTGTCCACCATGCCCATCCAGGGCTTTTCTACTGTCAACGTCCCTTGTTGGAGGTTTCCCCAAGGAAATTTCTAGTTTTTTCCTTTATAACTCCCAGTTTGCTTTCCTCGGGTTGCGTACCTTTAGTCGAATAAAGTTCTCAAAATTGACCACTAATTCTATGTATCGATGGTCTGAGAAGGAGTGTTTCTCTAGGACTCCCCATCTAACAATCCTGTCTACTAGGTATTCAGAGTAAAAAGAGTGACGTCAAGTACTTCCCTTCTGTTCTTGACTATGAAAGTGGGTTCTGTACCCCTGTTACCCACCAAAAGATTGGAGCCTAGGATAAAATCGAAGATTGACTCACCCCTCTCGTTCGTGTCAGTGCTTCCCCACTGATGATGATGGGCGTTAGCATCGCAACCTATGATCAGGTCGATCTTGTGCTTCCTGCTGTCTTCCACCAGCTGTTTGAGTAGCGGGTGCGGAGGGAGGGCCTCCTGGTCGTGGCCCATATACGCCGAACATATCCTTAGAGGGCCATTTGGGCTCTCTATGGCTGCGGCTACGTGGTCTTCATTGCTGAAATTGGGTAGCAAAAAGAGGTTAAGGTTCGGCTTTGCATAGCCTATACTCCGACGCCCCCAACCCAAGAATCCTGTCTCCAAGCATCCAGGGTTCCTGGATGAGGGCCACATCAGCTCCACTCTCGGCGAGGTGGAGTAGG